TACTCAACATGAGCTAACTCCATAGTCGCCAAGGTTTACTCAACATGAGCTAACTCCATAGTTGCCAAGGTTTACTTTAATAGGCGCTAACTCCATAGTCACCAGGGTTCACTCATACTATCTCTCATTACACACCAACTATACACTCACTTGATTAAAAGATGACCGGACAGCACTACGACTTGTAAAAGTAGTATTCTTCGGTAGATCTGGAAGATCTTCACAAAAACCGGCTTCTCACAAGCAGAGCTTCGGCTCGAGAATTTCATTTCTCGGGATCTTCGGGCTTTAGGACTCACTTCGGGTCTCGGGATGATACCGGGGCTTTGGGGGGTTAAAATAGGGCTTAGAGAGAGTATTGGGAGTGGGAGAGTAAGAGATGAGCAACCAAACTCAGCTTACCCTCAATTTCTATTCATAGGGTGAATTTTCTGAGTTCACCTCGTGAGTTTCTAATATTCACCTCGTGAGCTCGATACGTCATTGCGTTCGTCATGGCCACTTTCCCTGGAAGACGTCCATCATCTGTTCACCTCGTGAGTTCTGATAGTTTTGGGGTTTCGCGCGCCGAACTTTAGAAATTGATAACTTTCGTGTACAAACTCCGTTTTCGACGTTCCTTCATCTAAACTCCGCTTTCGTCTGTCTTTTTATCGTTGGACTACTATTGATGAGATCTTCAATTCTCATTTAGAAGGCTTTGGCTAAATATCACTCGACCTCAATCTCGAGTTTCGGGCTGCATACTGCTAATGTTGAAACTTCAAAAAATCATAACTTCTTCATACAAAGTCAGATTTAGACGTTCTTTTTATGCACGATCTCAGTTTAACGTATTCTACAACTTTCATTTAGATCGATAAGGCCAAATATCTCTCTAACATAAATTCACTATTTACGTCACGTTGTGTCATGCCAGTTCTGTTGCGAAACTTCGACAGGTCATAACTTCTTCATTATAACTCGGATTTCGGCATTCTTTATACGTACGGAATCCTTGTAACATATACTATAACTTAGTTAAGATTAATCCTTCTAAATAATCTTCCATCAAAAAGTCATTTTTGATGCTTATCGTCTCTAAATTGACTAGCCCGGATCTACGGGCGTTACAGTAAACGGTACAAAGGACCCAATATAAATAATGTCTCCAAATGTTGAGGGCAAAGACCACTGCCCCCAAGTCCAGGCCATGAGTAGGATATCGTACCTCATGCGGATTCAGCTACCAAGAAGCATACATAATCACTCACCCCTTCTGTATAAGAACCGTCCCTAAACCAGTGGTGGATGTATCACAAAAAACCTTGAAATCATCGACACCCTCCAGAAGGGTCAACATTATGGCCTCACATAACCTCTTTCACAGCATCTCAAACAAAGTCTGTTGCTCCGGGCCCCAACGGAAATCTACGCCTTTCCTCGTCAGACGAGTGAGGGATACAAAAATCTTGGATAAATCCCTGATAATATCCTTCTAATCCAAAGAAACTCCTGATCTCTGAGGGAGACTTGGGAACCTCCCACTGCATTACAACCTCAATCTTGGCTGGATCGACCAAAATCCCATTTTAGTTAATGAGATGTCGTAGGAACTGGACCTATCGCAATTAAAACTCACACTTTGAGAACTTGGCATACAGCTGTTCCCACCTCAGTACTTCCAAAATCTATCGAAGGTGCTCCTCATGATGTTCTCTGGTCTTGGAATATACCAAAATTTCATCAATAAAAATAATAACTGATCGAACGAGCATCGACCTGCATACCCAATTCATCAAGTCCATAAACACCACATACGCATTGGTGACAGTCGTTACAATCGGTGCCTGCCTCTCCTCCCTCATCTAGATCTCAATATCAATTTTCTACCTTCGTGTGACATCTTGAAGCTCGGAAAGGGTACTGTAATGTTGGGTAGATAGAAACTGTCGAATCTCCGTCTTAAGAATGCTAATTTGGGCCTGCTCTAAGGCAGAATAATCAGGACAGAAAAGGGCTCTATCAATAAACATCTTGGTGATCTCAATCACCAACTCTTACATCTTCCTCAACGCCAAATACTCCTGGGCCAACCTCTTTCTCTAGAAAGGGAACATAATCCATGTGAAACATCTCCGGAAACTACCCCCAAGTAATAACAACCCTCTGCTCCAGAGTATAAGAACCGGTCACCAGGTTCCACCAGTCCTTCGCACCCAGACAGAGAAGGTTCAGGATCACCTGACCTTCTAGTCCTCTAGACAAGAACAAGTGAAAAAGCAACCATCTACATTAGAAATCCATCTTATGTCCATGATCGGGTAATTGACCCCGTCGAACTCCCGGGGCTTCATGTTGCTGAAGTCCCGATACTGGAATGATCCTCTCCCCTAAACCCCACAACAACAACAGTTGCGGTAGCTACAGCAGCAGCAGCCTCAGCCACAGTGGCATATGCCTCATCAAACGACTCAATCATCGCGATCTTGATAGACCCAAAAACCTCTAGGATGGCACCCCGAACAACCGCATCTACCTCAGTGGCCACCAACTCGCGAATATCATCATCTATCAAGCCTGGCCTCTCCGGGGCGCCAACTCCTGAACTAGAACCTCTCGCGAACACCGTACTGAAAATGAACGAAAATATATAATAAATCTCATAATTCATGATATACAACCATTACAAAAAAAACTAAACCCTCGAGGTTTTGTGACTTACTTGTTATGCGTACGGGTCATGTGCTTCTAGTAGTACGGGCCCATACTACCTTCCACATCTACCCGTATTTGTCTCCATGGATTGTCACAGACCAACCAGATATAAAACCCAATGACTAGGATACACATACTGATGGGTTTTGAGCAAAACAAACAATCATATGTGTGCATGCAACCCTAAATAATTTGATCTACGTTTTCTCTAATTGAACATACAACTTGAACAACAAAACATAAAACCCTATCATGCTTCTATAATTTCAAAATTCATAACTTAGGGCTAGATTAATCATACCTTGATCAATATATAGCAATAGCAATCCAAATCCTTATATTGTTGAAAACCTTGAGAGCAAGCGTCACAATTGTCACACCTCTAGTAGCTTACACCCAACACTAGTAAGGAAGAATGATTGAGAGAGAGGAGGGAGGTTGCAAATTTTGGCTGAAACTCTTCAAGAATAAGTGGCAGAAAAATCATAGGGTATCAACCCTATTTATAGTGCAGTCAGGAAACCCTAGGTAAGCCTAAATCCAAGATTATCTTAAACTGAGTAATTATGCACTTTCCTGATTATCCATTAAAGACTATTCTAGAAACCCTAAGGCATATGAAAACTGTCCATAGCCTATCGAGGGTTCTAGATTGCCTCTTGCTCAACTATTGAACACTTACAATTCAGTCCCTGCACTTTTTAATTAATTCTTTTAATCCCAAAATTAATTCAAATTAATTTCTAATTAAATATTACTATTTCTAATTAATATATTATTCTCATAATATATTATTAAATTACTTATCTTAATTTATTAATCAAATTAATAATTGGACCTTCTCTTTCCGAAAGTCATCCTGTCTAATTACTAAGTTTGAGGGCAATCCAAAAGGACTGTGCTACCATCAATTCAAGGATAATGCTCGCCATAGCTACCTTTAATGATTATGAAATTTGGTAGATGGATGTCAAAACCACTTTCCTCAATGGGAAGTTGGCTGAAGGTGTTTATATGGGTCAACCAGAGGGTTTTGTTGATGCAAAGTTTCCTAATAGAGTATGTAAGCTTGAGAAATCCATCTCTAGATTGAAACAAGCATCTCGCAGCCATAATCTTTACTTCAATGAAAAAGTCAAAGTGTTTGGTTTTTATAGGAGTGATGATGAGTCTTATGTGTATGTTAAAGATAGTGGGAGTATAGTAACTTTTCAAGTGTTGTATGTTGATGGCATAGTACTCATGGGAAATGACATTCCAACCTTGCAAGAAGTGAAACCTTGACTTGGAAAGTGTTTTGATATGAAGGATCTAGGAAAGGCCGCCTATATTCTCGGGATAAGATTTTTGAGAGATAGAAAGAACAGGCTAATTGGACTTAGTTAAAGTACATACTTGGACAAGGTACTAAAGCGATTTAGTATGGAAAATTATAAGAAATGAGAGCTACCTATTCAAAGCAATTCCAAATCAAGTAAGACTCAAATCCCAAGTACGAATGAAGAGATAGCTGGTATGAGTCGAGTCCTTTATCCTTTGGTTGTAGGATCGATCATGTACGTTATGGGATGTGTCCTTTTCTTTAAATATGGTTAGTCATTATCAAGGAAATCCTGGCAGAGCTCATTGAACAATAGTTAAGAGCATACTTAAGTATTTGCAAAGGACAAAGGACATGGTTCTACTCCTTGGTCGCAATGATACGTTGAGAGTGATTGGGTATAGTGATGCCAACTTTCAAACAAATAGAGATAATTTTCGTTCTCAATTTGGATGAGTATTTACATTAAATGGAGGAGTAGTTACTTGGAAAAGTTCCAAACAAGACATAATGTTTGATTCTATCTATGAATCAGAGTACACAACGACAAGTGAAGCATCAAAGGAAACAACATGGTTGAAGAACTTCATTGGAGATCTTGGAGTAATCCCAACCATACGGGAACCAATGGAACTTTTCTGCGATAATGAAGGAGCGCTTGCTTTAACCAAAAAAACGAGAGATCATGGCAAATCAAGACATATCGACATAAAATCCCATTATATTAGACATATAGTTGAAGAAAGTCATCAGAGTCTCTTCAAAAGATAACCCTGCAGATGGATATGGTTTTGGAGCTTTTTGGGAAAAATATATTTTACGGGAAAGTCTCTTTTTTGTGCATATCAAACAGTCATTCGGATCCATTCAGCCGGAAAAATTTGTTCTAAACTGGAAAGATGTCTATTAAACGAGACCTAAAAAAGATATTAATAAAACATGGATATAACTTGAAACATCTATGCTACTTAGAAGCTAATAAAAGATATTAAAATAAACGATCGAAACATAAATTGGATATCCTCATTTATTATAATATGAATTTAAATATGATTGTGAAGGTTATAATTTACATCAAATAGGTTAAATGGTTAATCAAAACAATTTTGGGTCCCATAAAACGGGTGCAGATGGAGGGTCAGCGCCGCTACCCCCATCGAAAGAAAAAGCATACTAAAACCCTCGATAAACCCTCGGTCGAATCCCCAAAATGGATCACATCGCCGCAGCGGAGGAACGAATTGTAACAGAGAAATTGAGGCAAAAGCTCAACGAGGTTAATTCCGCTGTTCAATCCCAGCTCAACGTTGTTCAGGACCATGTCAATTTCACCCTCCAGGTTTCAACACTTCTTCCTCTCTCTCTCTCTCTCTCTCTCTCTCTCTCTCTCAATATACTCGCAAATACACAGAAACGATTACACGAAACCTCTATACAAACTTGATTTGAAATTTTTGAAATTGGGGATTTGCAGAAAGCGTACTTTAGATGTGCGTACGAGTGCTTCGACAGGAGGAGGAGGCAGGAAGACATAAGCATGTGCGTTGAGAATTGCAGCATGCCTGTTCTTCAAGCTCAGAATCTCGTTGAAGGCGAAATGGCCAAATTTCAGGTAGTTTCTCACTATCAATCTTCATATCTACATCGATTGTTCAAACCAGATCTGTGTTTTTCTGGTTATCATGTTTGGGATCATGAGTACTTTTTAGCATTATGCATCTTGATTTGTAGTGAATTCAGAGATCAGAAACATTTGTTTTGTGGATTACAGGAACGATTGAATAGGTCACTGATGGTATGCCAAGATAAATTTGAGTCTGCAAAGATGCAACAGATGAGGACTGATGCAACAAAGGATATGGAATCATGTGTTAATCAGACAGTTGAAGAACATGTCAAGGCATTGCCACATTTGGTTGCAAAATTGAAGGCTTCCCTCAACATCAATCCCATAAACGAGTGAAAAATCATTGCAATATGCATTTTCTTGTAGCAACTCATAGAATATTATGCATGGAGAGGTAAAGAAGCATATGCTAATATACATTTACATTTTGCTGATGGAACTTGAATAATTGAGCAAGTTTTATTCTTGATTTACTAATACTGTGAAACTGAAAAAGAAATGATGTTGAAGTTAGGAGTGTCATATTGGGTTAGTGTGTCATGTTTTTATGCAACATAACACTAGTTTTTTATGACACCACATGATATGACACGAGTTACTAATACAAAAACGATCCAGAGTCAAAATATAACAAAATAAACATGACAAAATAAATGGAAAATAACAATTAGGCATTAGTTTACTTGATTCATGAGTAATCATACAAAACACATGAAACGTGTGTTAATATTGTGTCAGATTGTGTTGAATTTTGAACACGAACATTGATCCGATATGATGTGTTTTTTACACTAGACATGTGTGAATGCAATTTTTAGTTTTGTTTCAATTTGGTTTCATGTTGTGTCATGTCATGAATTGAAGTTGTAGCATTTCGTTTTTGGATTTGGATTAAATAGATTTGAAAAAGTGGGTAAAGAGTGGTAAGAAAATTACTTAAAATAGGGGTGTTGAACGGGTAATTTTTTCGGGTTTCGGGTAATTTGGGTTTTTCATGTTAGAAAAATTACCCGTTACCCTACCCAAACTAAATTCGGGTAATTCGGGTATGGGTAATTCGGGTATCGGGTCGGGTTTGGGTAATTCGGGTATTACCCGAAATATATGATTTTTTTTTTTTTAAAATTTCACCTAAAAATAAATTTAATGAAATAAATACGTCGTGCTTTATTAGTCTTGTTTATATAAACAAACGAGACATAAATGAAGTTACTCAAGCTTTGAACATTGAGATTTACTACTCAATAATATATGAGATATCAAGTATTTTTTTAACGATTTAATCTAATCTAATAAGATGTTAAGAAAACAAATACCTAAAGATCTTAATTTAAAAGTTTAAAATGTTTAAGATAAATGTAGTCATAAGTTTTGCCATGTTCTAAAGTTTCGTCAAGATAATGAGTTTGTTAGTTGTAATAAAAACTATAATATAGAAAACAGTTAAGTTTTAAAGAACGTGATGATATATAAAAATTACTTTTAATATTGTTAGTGTCGTATTATCATAATAAATATATTTATGTTTTATAATAATGATATTAGTTTAAACGTGATCAAATACCTGCTATATAGTACAAGCTCTACAAAAAAAAATGAATTTTTAAAATAATTTGGGTAATTCGGGTATACCCGAAACCCAAAAAATGTACCTTTTACCCGACCCGAAAAAATCGGGTAACCCGATTACCCGGAAAAATTTACCCGATACCCGAAAAAATCGGACGGGTAATTCGAGTATCGGGTATTTTTGACAGGGCTAACTTAAAATCTTTAGTTTTAGGGTGATGATTTTATTGTTAAGATAAAATAATCCTTTTGGAAAGGGAAAATTCTAGAAAAGTCTTTACGTTTTCTATCTTTTAGATGAATACTGTTTTATAAGACATTTAATAATTTAGATATTTTTATTTAAGTAGTTGTTTAGCTATTATTATCGTCTAGGTGTTACAAGTACAAATATAATCTTATCCGGATAAAAAGTGTTTAATCTAAAATAGGCCACTCCAAAATAAATTGATACTCACTCCAAAACAGACCAATATTATATACTAGGATTCAAATGGTATGAGGCAATGCAGAAAAGTCAAGGATTAAGTTTTACAAGTTATGGTCTTGTAATCGGTATACTAAACAAAGGAAATGAAATATAATAATGTTTGGTTGAATCCCAAATGTTGGAAATCGGATTTCTATATGGTTTTTAAACCGGATAAAACTGGATTTTCTAATCTACGAAGAATCTTAAGGTTTCCATTCCTTAAATGATCCCAAATGATTGAAAAAAAGGGAAAATGATTCTTGAGGGTAATTAACTTTTAAATTTTGCGTTTGTACTCATTTGGTCAATTTTTTTTTTTTTTGTATTCAATATATTATCGAATTTGTTGTTTGTGTTCATCATAACCCTTTTGACCGACTTTTGACATGTGATAGCCGGTCAAAGGGTTATGATGAACACAAACAAAAAATTCGATGGTATATTGAGTACAAAAAAAAGGAAAATGACCAAATGAGAACAAACTTAATTTATTTACAACAAATCCCACGTCATCTCCTACTGATATTAATGACTTTATAAGATTCATTTTTGCTTCTCTTCAAAACATAACCCACGAAAAAACACTATTCAGACATGTGTAACTTTGTAATGCACTTGAATATTTATTAGGGGAATCTTGACCAAGCAAACACATTTCATGACAACATTTACATTTCCAATCGAATGATTTATCGTATCATGGATTCTAGACAAAACTATAAACGAGTGGAATCACAAGTGCTGTGATTTTTGAGTTTACTTAGCTTTAAAATTGAATTTATGGGATGAGATACAACATTAATATGTACAATATCATGCTGCTTTTGCAGACACATCACCATAATATACCTTGAGGTAAACGTTTATACTGATAAATATACCTCTCATACATAATCATATCCTTTTGAAGAGAGGTATTGACAGTTAACCACAGTAAACATAACATAGACCAAGTTTTAACGAAGTTACCCATCTGAAACACTCTTCATATACGTTATAGCCAAAGAAGGTTGCAGTCTTTGATAATTTTGCAACTTTAATTTCATTTAACTTTTCGGCCAAAATGACTCAGAAAGGTAACCAACTGTTGAGTTTGTTCTCATTTGGTCATTTTCCTTTTTTTTTTGTACTTAATATACCATCGAACTTGTTGTTTGTGTTCACTATAACCCTTTGACCGGCTATCACATGTCAAAAGCCGGTCAAAAGGGTTATGGTGAACACAAACAACAAGTTCAATGGTATATTGAATATAGAAAAAAAAGGACCAAATGAATACAAACGCAAAAATTAATTACCCTCAAGAATCATTTTTCCATTGAAAAATTGACAAACATTAATTATAAAGTTAATAATTTAAAATTGCCATTTTAACCCCTCAAACAATTACAAAATGACAGAATAGTCCTTATGTTATTTTTAGGCTGTTTCCGATCAACAATGAAAATTTTGTAAAATATAGATACCGAAATCAAGTTCGGGAAAAGGTTATGTCATTTTTTATGATTTTCTAAAACCGGTTTCTAACATATCCTAAATTGTTCGTATCCAAAACTATTCATATAAGAATGGAAAATTCACCCTTAAAACCGGATAGCTTCAAACCGGCTTTTTCAATAAATTGGCCCATGTGGACATCTATAATCATCTACCAAACTTGGTCCCTTCCATGTTTTCCCAATTTTTAGAGTCAATTACAAATTTTTTTTTCCTCTTGTATATTCAAAATGACATGTTTCAAGTTGTATTGTAATCATAAATTTGGTCAAATGGTTTTATTGTGTTGTAGTTTTGGTCTATATGTCATTAAATCTTGTTTCCGATTAACAATGTAAATTTTGCAAAATACAGATACCGAAATCAAGTTCGGGAAAAGGTTGTCATTTTTAGGATTTTCTAAAACCGGTTTCTAACAGTGCATACCTGAAACTGTTCACATAGGATTGGAAAATTTACCTTTAAACCTGGATAATTCCAAACCGATTTTTTAAATAATTTGACCCATGTGCACATCTTTAATCATCTACCAAACTTGGTCCCTTCAATCTTTTCCCACTTTTTAGAGTTTGTAATTTTCCTCATATATATATATATATATATATATATATATATATATATATATATATATATATATATATATATATATATATATATATATATATATATTCAATACGTCATTAAATATAGCTATACAAGTTGGATCTAATCCAATTGGCTAACAAGGAGGTTTAGGTTTATATGAAAACAATGATATAATTGAAAACGCGAGAACAAATCTGGGTTATATACTTTTTTTATCGCGAAACTCTCCACCGTACCGACGCGAGTATATGTATATTCTCCGGTGATTATATATATATATATATATATATATATATATATATATATATATATATATATATAGTCGTCCCTGTATGTACGAGCGCTTAAGCGGCAAATTTGTAATATACAAAAATATATTCACCTTTATATTCATATATGAATATTAATTTATTCTTTTATATATATATATATATATATATATATATATATATATATATATATATATATATATATATATATATATATATATATATATCGTCGTCCCGGTATGTTAGAGCGCTTAAGCGGCAAATTTGTAATATACGAAAATATATTCACCTTTATATTCACATATGAATATTAAGTTTATTTGTTGCACCGGTATGCAATAGTTTTGCGGCTAAAAAAATTGTGGCCCAAATTTGTTTTTGTGTTTTCGATTTCATAATTGTTATATATATATATATATATATATATATATATATATATATATATATATATATATATATATATATATATATATATATATATATATATATATATATATAGGTTCATTTTGTGAGACTAAGGAACAAAATTTTAGCCTTTGATCAAATTTGATTTTGTGGTTCATAAAAAAGGGATTAACACTAATTAATCTAACTGATTAGTTAATTTAGGATAGATTAATCACTAGGTTAAATTTAAGATGATCAGATATCATGCTAGCGTCATTTTCACGTCATCAAGAAATCATCTCATCTGTTTCGGTTTTCTAACAATTTATTCGATGGATGAACATTCCTTGTTCTTCAATTCACTTTGATAATATTCTATCTCTAGTCTTATATTCTTTCAATTGATAATTAATTTGAGTTGGATATTGATTGAAAGTTGCTAACTCATAGCTTTTAAATTCACGATTTTTGTGTTATTCGAGTTCATGTTATTCATTCTTCTACATCTGCGATTGATAATCTAAGTGATTGATGTTTATGTTCATCTATCGACATTAACAATTCATTAGAAGATTTTGACAAATTATAACTTTGTGATCATCGATTTCAGTAAAGGTTCAAGTGTTCAACGATTTCTGCTAATCTTCATCTTAAACAATTGTTTACGATCTTTCAGGCTATGATTTATACTCAACATCATGAATTCATCAATTGATCAATGTTTGAGTTTTCATAGCTTTCACTGTTACTTGCATATAACATATTTAATTTTTAACCTAGTTCATGAATTGAATCATCAAGCTATTATCGATTTCTCCAATTTATATATGTATGATTTGTGATTTCAGCAATCAAACATCATCTGTTGTTGAATTTGTTTGACCTAGAAAAAAAATTTAATCTATAATATGTTATTTGACAACACATCTCTATTTTATTGTTT